AGGATGAAAAAGGAGTCAAGTCAAATTTTTTCAATATTCTTAAAACAGTAAAAAGCAACTATCTAAAATTAATGGTCAGAATGAATCAAAATAAAGAAATTGTAACTTGATGTTGAATCATTATGAAGTAATAGTAAGGAACAGAAATTTACTCTGCAGGCTGTTATAAGCGTTTGAAAGAAGAAATTACTCACATACGGGATGTTTTGAAGAAGCTGCACACAGTGTGAGTATTGTGCAAAAACAAAACTCGCAAGGCACAAGCACAAGAAGACTAGGTTAGCATTGCACTTCACAAAACAGTACTGCTGTTGTCCGAAACAAACACAGTTCATGCCCATGGCGAGCGAACTTTACTGGTATCTGCGTCGAAGATTCATTCGGCAAACACATTAAAGCTTGTCATTCCATCATTCACTCATAATGTTACACCGAAATTAGTTCCCGCACCTAAGAGACAATAACTTTCGTCAAAGCATGCTTCAAAATAACAGCTGAACAGCTATCGAACCTACCGAACTGGAGTTGAGGAAGAGAAGGCTCAATTTTTCATAGCCTGGAGTACCCTACCAACAGAGATTGGTCACAAAACGTCAAAATGATGAAAATTCGCATCACTATGACATCTTTTTGGACCCCAAAACGTCATTTTCACATCACTAATACGTCAATCTGACGTTTTGTGACAAATCTCTGTTAGTAGGGGTAGTGTAAACAAATTGAAAAAAATATGCAAAATGCAGGCAGCAGACGATAGAATGTCAGGTCAAAGTCGGAGACACAGGCTACGGGTCACTTATTCTTACTTTTCAATTACTATGTTTAAGAGAATAAACCATCAATGATAACCCACAACCTCCTTTTTCGTTTGGAGGACAGTCAGAATAAGTTGACAAGCAAAATTATTATTATTCTACTTCAAACTTTCAGGTAGTGGTGGAACATTAACCCCATCTTGTCATTGTTTTCCTTTTTGATGACTGATATAAACCCAACAAGCTCTTAAAGCAGATTCACAGTCTGCTAAAACCAAAAATATTTTTCCATTATTGATATTTCTGCAGTTGAAGAAAACAAACCATGGTGACTATTGCAAAAAGGGATTGATTTGGTTATTCCTTTCCACATAAGACACATCACACATTTGTTAGTAGTTTTGTAGTTTCGAAACTGTGTGATGTCTGATGAGTCTGTTATGGATCCACCTCAAGGGCTGATATCACAACAAATTGGTTTATAAAACTTCACATTGTAACAGTTTCGCTCTCTTTAAATTAAAAGCCAAAAAGGTTTGTGTTGTTCCCAAGAGCTTGGAGTTCAATATTCTTATGTCATTACAATCAAGCTAGTGTCTGGTGAGTACTAATACAGTGCACAGTGTGGGTCATGAACTTTAGTTGGCAAGTAGTTTCTGTGTGTGATTTCTTTTAAATGTTCGTGCTTCAGACTTTAAAGATTCGTGAAATGTGAAGTTTATAAATATGTTGTAACATTTGTCCTTTTAAAATCAGACTTGTCCGTATTGAGTGAATGTTACTTGATGAAAATAACTAAATCAAATTCTCATAGGTTGGTAACTTTATAAACTTTTAACTTAATGTCAGAGTGAGAATATTAAACTTGACAATACTTCTTCCAATAAAAAATCTTAGTCACAAAATCAACTGTTTCTATTTTTGTCCCTTCTTTACATCATTAATAAACGCAGGAATAAATTGCAATTCCTAGAGAATAACAAGAAACAAACAATAACATATAAAAGTACTTTGGTTTGAGAGAGTTGGAACAGTCCCACCTAAGATAGTCAAATTTAATAAAACATCTAATGGATAAAAATAAAAAATATCCTTCTGCCCGCAGTAACCATCACTAAACTTTGAGTGTTAGAGAGAACTTAAACCAGAATACGGAAGCAGAACGTCACTTAAATAGAGAACAAAATTTTAAACAGAAAAATAACAGGAAAACAAATGCGTAAAAATACTTTTGGTTTGAGAGCAATCCCACCTAGGACACTCAAGTTAATAAAACATGTCACAAAACGACAGTCACACTTGCTTACTTAAAATAGTTCAGATAGTCAAAAATAATAAAGAATCTTCTTTCTGCCAGCAGCAATAACAATCAGACTTACTTTTCAGTCTGGAGAGAGTCACTGAATAAAACAAAAATTTGAAACAAAAATAATAGGAAAACAAATACTTGGATATTCTTGGGTAGAGCAATCCCAACATAGAACTCTCAAGTTATCAAACTAATATCACAAAATGATGAGACTTTTACTAAAAATACTTCAGACAAAAAAAAACACAATTAAAAATCTTCTTTCTGCCAACATAGTCATAACAATCAGACTTATATTTCAGAGATGTGGAAGAAAGTCAAGATATAAAAAAGATTTTAAAATTATACAACATTATTGCACTTCTTTTTCCCATGACACTAAAAACTGCAAAACTACCCTATTCCTCTTCACTGTCTTCTTCATCCGAGGAAGGAAGGAGGTCAGGATCCCGATCCTCAGGCACAGCATCATCAGAAGGAAGTGAATGGTAGAATGAGTGGCAATCTGGGTCCAGGAGGTGAAGCATAGATAACAGGTCTTTTTTCTTCTTAGAGCCAATTGGCTTAGGTCCACTGTAGGCTTTCTTTGGTGCTAACACAAACTCTCCTTTCTTCCTCCTCCTCAGGTTTAAATACTCAAAGTCATCATCTTCATTTAGAGTTTTCTTGAAGGCGACAACACCAGGGTCAAGGTTTCTTCTGTGCCTGATCCAAACAACATCTTTCCACACAAATTTGATCTTTGTGGTAGTGACTTTCCTTTTCACAAGAGGACTAGTTTTGCCAGTATGCAAAGCTTTGAAATCTAGCTGGTGCTCTTTTAATAGCTGAACCGAGAACTTCTTACTGGCATTCCTGACAAGATTGTACCAATCCCTGGGCACATGGATCTCAGGGGCTTGCCTCTTTTTGTTCTCGATGACAGCATGATCACCATCACATTCCAGATGTGTGTGTCCTGGGACAAGAAACTTCTGGTCTATCACTTTTAAGGTTTTCTTCCTACTTAAAGCAGTGACCAACGCTGAATTTATTATTGAGTTCTTATTTTGCCCCCCACAGGTGTCTGACCACATAATGAGATGTTCAACTTCATCAGGGAGAGAGAGGATGTACTTAAAAAGGGCCGAACCCACCTGGTTGGCACCTCTTCCACCTTCAGCTTCATGCCACATATTGTGGATGCTGTGGCCTGTTGACATGATGTGTATTGTAAGATTGTAGACCCAAAGCTGCCGGAGATAAAATATTATTGAAGTTGACAAGCTTGGTGTTGGCAAGCATTGCTGAAGGTCAAATGTGATAGTCTCAACAGTTACATTTTCTTTGGCCTTTGCTTTATCAGCTTTCTTTTGCTCTATAGCTGCTTCTGCTTTAAGGTGGTGCAGTGTCTGCTGTTGTTTGTTTTCTTCTCTTTCTTCGTCAGTTTTAGAATACTTAACAGCAGCTTCAAGCGTATCACAACGGTGACATGTATCAGCATGCAATGCCTTGAACTTCAACCCAAGTTTATGTACTTCTCTAGAGTACACCCATCGAGACACTGGTTGCAAATCCACTTCTTTTTTTTCTACCATCTTACAATACTCTTCATACATTGTTTTTTCAGTAAGATTGCTGGCCAAAAACTTACTCTCTGTTCTCTGTCTACAGTAGTGGGATTGGTACTTGGGGAATGAATTAATATGATCAATAACCTCCTGTAATCTATTTTCTTCCAAACCATTACTGGTAGATCCCCTTTCATCTTTTTTAGGCAAGCCTGCAGTATTTGCAATTTTTAATTTGTGAATAATTTCAATAGCTTTTTTAGAGATTTGATAAATTTTCATGAAGCAACCTTTACAGACCTTAATGTTACTGCCATTGAGGCAGGCAAAATACTCATAGGAAAATTCTCTTTTTTTTCTAGATGATGCTGCAAGATTAATTCTTTGGGACTTTTTAGGTACCCTGTTTATTTGCCCAGCAATGTACCTTCGGCGAGCAGTGGCGTCCCCTAGGTTTTTCCACACACTATCACACAGGTCCTCAGCAACTTCAATTGGAATTTTCTCAGCACAGTTGTTTCTGCAGTCCACCAGACGCTCTGCCACTTTTTCTCTGACTGTTTTGCCTGTGGCTGTGGTGTACTCCTGGCCCTTGTTCCGTGCAATTTTTCGAGAGAGTCTTATTTGAGAAGTATTTTGCCGTAAAGGCTGCCTCTTCACCCTCTTTTTAGGCCTTGCTTCATCCTCTTGATCATCTTGCTCATCATCTGCCTCCTCTCTCTCACTCTCCTCTCTCCCACCTTCACCTGAAAAATAATAAATTATTAACACTATAAAAAGAGAAGCCTATCTACAAGTACAGATAGCACATTTTCAATACGGTTGCTAACCAGATTCATTAAAAGACCCTGAAGGTGGAGGTGAAGGTGAGCGCACTGGAGAAAGTCGTGGTGAAGTATGGTCATCACCTCTTGTGTCATCCTCATGCTCATCCCGCTCACCATCCTCCTCCTCCTCCTCGCTCTCACTCTCCTCTCCTGTTTCCCTATCTTTATCTGAAAAACAAAAGTAAATTATTAAGAGAAGTCTTTTCACAAGGAAAAAAACAGCATCAACAATACTATATTTTTAATACGGTTGCTTACTAGATTCATCAGAAGATCCTGGAGGTGGAGGTGAAGGTGGCGGTGAAGGAAAGGAAGGAAGTCTTCGTGGAGAATGGTCATCACGTCTTGCGTCACCCTCTTGCACAGTCTGCTCATTATCCTCCTCCTCTCTCTCACTCTCCTCACCCTCATCTTTATCAGAAAAACAAATATAAATTATAAAGAGAAGTCTTATTACAAAGAAAGATACCATATTATAAATACGGTTGCTAACCAGATTCAACAGAAGATCCTGGAGGTGGAGGTGAGGGTGGAGGTGAATGCAAAGAAGAAAGTCTTGGTGAAGAATGGTCACCATGTCTTGAGTCACCCTCTTGCGCAGCCTGCTCATTGTCCTTCTCTCTGTCGCTCTCCTCTCCCTTTTGCCTATCTGTATCTGAAAAATAAAAATTAATAATTATTAAGAGAAGTCTTATTACAAGGAAAGATAGCATATTTCAACTACAGTTACTTACTAGATTCATCAAAAGATCCTTGATAAGGAATTGAGGGAAGTTTTGATGGAATAAGGTCCTCATCTGCAGATAAAAGACAAATTAAAATCCTATGGATGCTAGAAACAGTTTAACTCATATCACTAAGTAATATAAAAATTATACCCGAGAAAATATAGCAACTAAATTGGTAATAGAAACAACCCCTAATTTTCACACCAAAGAGAGCATACTACAAGTACTAATTCTTACCACTTGAACTTGTATCAAAAGAAAATTGTGGCGATGGCAGAGGGTTCGAAGGAGGTACTCTTGATGGTATGTCATCATCTGCAGATTAAATACACAAAAAATTAAAATCCACTAGTCAATAGTAAGGCCTCATCTTGCATTAATAAAAATAATTTATGAACGAACTAGGAGGTGATGATTGTGGTGAGGTAATGGCAGTACGAGGTGTCAATTGATTGAAAATGTTGATCGGCAACTGAACTAAAATCTGGAGCTGATTCTTAGCTGGAAGTGGGCAATCATCATCACCCGACTTTCTTTTGCTGGCATTGGTATTGCTCCGAAGTACTGTAACAATGCGATAAATTTGAGTGTTAGGGAAACAACACAGGATTATGCGGCAGCAAACTAACAAAACAAAATCAAGGCATGGAAACCTCACCTCTTTGTTGAACAGGCTGGGGATATACATTTTCTTTATCCTCTACCACTGAAACAAAAGAGTTATTATGAGTAAACATTCTTGAAACTATGCACTAGCGTATGCCCTATCAATGTGCACAGGTTAGAGGTTTAACAGCATAGGAGTACGAAGTTCGGTGCAACTGACGAATACAATAATTGCAAGAAATGAAAGAATGCTGAGGTAGGAACCAAACATTAAAAGCGAATTCTTTTAAAATCATAACCCCTTTTTCTATCACAAACGTTCCGCCATGGCTAGGTTAGGTCACCTTCATCTCAAGATTCTAAATACTACTTTGATGACAAATGAAGTTCTTCTAGGGACCCAATTTGAAAGCTAACAATGGGCGAGACAAAAAAAAATATTACCATTTCTAGTGGGAGGCCGAAACCGCCCTAGACGCCTAGGCTGTCCCTCAAATGCCGGGCGCAAGGGAGTATCTGTAACTTTGATGAAAAACGACATAAAATGTGTGGAAGTATGGTCGGCCATACACATAAAATCAAGAGTCATGTATTGGGCAAGACTTGTATCAGAAAATTAACTTACCCCTTCTTAATAGTTCATCCATATTTTAACTTTGCGAACAATAACATAAAAAAAAGATCTTTCCTCCTCAACGACAACCACCAGCACCTGGATCCAGCTAACAGCAGCAGCAGGCAGAGCAGAGGGAAGGCCAAAGACTGTGATTGGTCGAAGAGGCCTGACTTCCATTAAAGCCTTATCAGCTATTTGCAGGAATGATGTTGTTTACACCCGATAGGTGCCGAAAAGAGTAGCAGACGAGCCTGTCGTTGTACTCGTTGCTTGCAAAGTGGTGAAGGTGTTTTTGAAGTTTCATTTTGTAAGGAAAGAATTCATAATTCTCTTTGAAAAGTATGCCGTAGGGTAAGTTTGTGTGGATCTAGATCCAGTTTTGTATTCATGATGTGTTGACCGTGCGCAATCCTATAAGAAACAACGCTTTCCTCGAGGCCAGTGTGAAGAATAGGTTAAGGTGCTAACTCTGGTCGCTACAGGCTCGATCCCAATTCAAAGTTTCTAGAAATAATAATGAGACTATAAATGACAGTTTGATCCTGCATTTTAAACAATTTCTGTATCCTATTTGTATTAACAACATGAGTAATGCTTTTAAAATGTTTGCCAGTCAGAACTTTTTTAAAACAGTGCTTGATTCTTGTAATTTTAATGATTTTAATAAAATGCAAAAGGGGTCAAGTCAACTTATCACCTTAAAAAAAAAACTCATCATAAAGAGTCAAGTGCACTTGACTCCTTTTGCTTCTATTGGAATTCCGATGACTTTGGGGATAAGTCGACTTACCCCCTTTTGGTACATGAAAACTATCGGTCCAAAGGAGTTAAGTAGACTTAGCCCCCTTTACAAGGCCAAATATCTCCTAGCCTTGTGGGGGATATCTCGAAACCACTTAGTGGACAGAAGCGGACTGACATGCACTATATTTTGCCATAAAAATCTCAGTTTGGGGGACAAGTGACTTATTGCTTTCTTCCGCTTCACAGCACAACTTTTATTGCAGTCCTTTCAAAATAAGTTAGTTATTCGACCCGTCCAATCTTTTCCCACAGTATGTACGATTAATATTGGACATATTTCAAAATCGATAACTTTAACTTTTAATTTGACATGTGTCTGTCAGTTACATTCAGTAACTAACATTCATTCTTGTTATGATAAGTTATGGAGCCCTGGATACTGCCAGGCTTGTTCGCAAGAGTGCTCCTGTATATAACACAAGAAAGAACCCTAGTGTCAGCATCAGCATTGTAGAATGAAATTTCCACAGCCTTGCCACTTAAGATCATTACTGCCACTTCCTTGCCGCTTAAAGTCCATTAAACCTTTGTCCTATTCATTTTTATAGGCCTACAGTACTTTTAGTTTTTTGTTGATACACATTGTTAAGTGAGGTGTCGTTTAGGAGGGGTAATTTCTGAAAAAATATCGAAGAACAGTTTATATTGACCAAAGTTGTTTAATTCCAGAAATTGGGGAGGCGAAAGTGCAGTCACAGTCTGGGTAACAAACACCCCTTGCAAAAATATTTTCCAAAAGCTACAAAAACGGGTAAATTCTGGTAGGTCCCCTCACTTGAAGGTCCCCCCCTATTATTTTA